GCGTGTTCACACGATATTCAAGCTTAACCACGTAATCTCTGAGTCTATTTTATTCTCTCTTCATTTCCTTCTGATTGTCCTGCAACTCTGTTACGAGGTAGATAGTATCATTGGCCTGCTCCTGGACATTCTCTAGCCTCTCCTGAATACCGTTTTTGGCTCTCATTTCTTTTGTAATGTCATCTAGATGCTTACCCTGACCATCGAGTCGTAACATGAAATTAGCTAGCGTTGTCTGTATGCTGGAAATGCCCTGCATAATTTCTCAAAGTTGAAAATCTTCAGTTTTCTGTTTACTTTGTTCATCTTGTTCCATTGACAATTCACTCGTATTATCTGTTTTGTCCAGCGCTCGTTTTTTTTAAAAGATCTCCGCCATTGTGAAAACACAGTACTTAGGGTGTATGAGTATGGCTCACCGTTTAACAGTTAAAAGCCACTGACTTACCGAAAAGTTTACCAGCTTTCTGGTGTATCTATTTCTTTCTGTAAACTACTTAAATCCGCACATAACACACAGAAGAATGTCTTGATTAATACCGGTACCACTGCATTTTAAATTTCAGAATTTCACTATTTCGCAGGTATTTTTTTGGGCAAAAATTCTCCCTCTGCCAGGAATGTGTGTCTTACATGTTGGGCATGCGCAGTTTTTTTTTCCGGCGTGTGCTTCTTGTCATTATCGGGAAATAATGGAAAAATCTTCAATTCAGTGTATAAATAATGGACTAACAATTAATATCACTAATATCTTATTCTCAGTTTTTATTTAAGATAGTTGGAATCTTGTGCTGTCCTCAGGAAAGACAGGTACTATTAAATGAATGCAATACAACAGTGAAATTCACAGTGAAATTCTCACTGTGAAATTCAGATCCCTTTTATTGTAATAATATCAGGTAAATCCTATAGGTTACACTTTATAAATAATTGTGAAATAGGTCAATGGAAATATTTTAGATATTGAATAAAAGAAAAATCAATATCGTTTAGAGTCTGTGCCTGTAAAATATTGTAGATTCTTAAACATGCGCAAGGGAGTAATTATCGCGAAATTTCGCGAGAAGCGACACTCTGGAAATATATTAGTTACTCGCTTTCATTTTTAAGGTGCTTAAATATGTGTTAAACTTCCTGAAAAACCGCCCATTCGTAAATTATTTTTCTCGCGATTTGCCGTCTAAAAGCCATTTTGTAACATTTTGTACCCGTCTCAAATAAGGTATTTACAGTATACAAATATTGGACATTCCATGTGTTGTTGTTGGATATCAATTTTATCTTACGAGTTGTGTTTTTATTCAAAAGCATTGGCGAGAGAGTAAAATCACACAAAAAGTAGATAAAATTCATATCAATTCACAAATCATGGGATATTCCTTTTATCCCATGTTTTATATATCGCTATAAATATTTTACACGGTTTCATAAAGGAATTCACTTTAATTTTCTTCATCACTCTAAAGCATAACTCATTGTGACCTCCCCGGATAAAGGGGTAATCATGAGAAAAAATGCAGTATGAAGAAATTAATTCGAAATTATAACGAGGTAAGTAATGATTGATTGTATGTTGTTCAATGTCCCCGTCGAGAATTTTGCACTCATATGGAGACGCCACCACTTGCCGGTGGAGAGCCGCAAAATTTGTCCTATACTCGGCACTTAGGGTTATTGAGCAGGAAGGGATCTTTTTCGTGCCAGTACCTACTGCGACACGGGACCTCGGTATATACGGTCTCATCCGAAGGACCGGTCTCCACATCCAACAGTGGGATTCGATCCTTCGACGTAAGAATGAAAACCTTACTTAGTGACTCGAGAGCAGACGCTCTAACCACTGCGCCATGCAGGCGACAGATAAGAAATTATGTACCTAAAAATGCTATCAATTATTAGATTTTCATTGAATATAGAAAAGATATCGTAAAAGTGAAATGCATTGAAAATTTGAAAGTTTCGAATAAAACTCTTTTATTTTGACTTTGTTCAGATCAAATAATTTTCTTTGATCATCAAGCTTTAATGAACTTTTCAGTGTTACATATCAAACACGCATCGAAAACCTTCTATTCCGAAGTAGTTTAAAATGTGAATTAAAGAAAATCATTAAAAATCCCTAACTAAGTAACAATGGCGGACCAATGAGTTAAAATTGTGGAATTAAAGACGTTTATAAAATACTATTTTACAAAGTGTCTCTTTTGATGAAAAAAAATTAATATTCTGTTCAGGCATGGAAGTATATGATTGTATACTTGATTTAGAAACTAAACATTAAACACTTACCTATCGTTTCCGTGGCGGGTCCTGCAAGAAAGAGTTGATATTTCTCTGTTTCACTGGAGACGAGAACCTATCGTACATTTCAAACAGCGTTCTACCATCGCATACATGTCCAAGAACACATCCGATGTCGATATCGACGATATCGACAATATTATGTCGATATCGTATCGATATCGATCTTAATCAGCAATATGAATTGGAAATACCTGGTGCCGTATTTGAGACTCTATATTATGTCGACGTCGTCGATATTGACATTATCATGACAATATAGTATCGATATCGATCCTATTTGCACAATTTATTTTCACATTGAGGTATTACAGAATTTTAGAAAGTCACAAGTGAAGTCAAAATTGATTCCTTATTGGCATGAATATAAAAATAAATTTATATGATAAAGAAATTTTTAGGGTTGTTATTGTTTTAGATTAGATTTAGAGTAAGATGTTGGATTAGGGTGAAAATTCTTAAAAATGTTTTAACAATCATATGATTCGATATCGATATGATATCGTCGATATCGACAGTAAGGTAAACTTGTTAAACACAGAACTGATGACAGAAGTGATGTAAAAATAAAGTTTTTGTATTAGGGTGAAGATTTGTAAAGTAATATGCTCTTAACAACCATGATTCGATATCGATATGATATCGTCGATATCGACAGTAAGGTAAACTTGTTAAACACAGAACTGATGACAGAAGTGATGTAAAAATAAAGTTTTAGTATTAGGGTGAAGATTTGTAAAGTAATATGCTCTTAACAATCATGATTCGATATCGATACGACATCGTCGATATCGACGATATCGATGGCAGGTAATATCTTCGTTAAAGTAAAGTATTTAAACATAAACACATTCAAAGAAACAGGGAAGGTATTTACCAAGGGTTTAGCAAACAAGATTCGATATCGAAGCGATATCGTCGATATCCACGATATCGACACATCAGGGAAAGATTTATAAAGAAGTTTTTAAGTGACAGTTCTTAAAAGCACCATATTAAGGATGGAAACCACAATTTTTGGAGCAACCATGATTCGATATCGGCACGATATCGAGGATATTAACAGTAAGGAAATAGTATTAAAACAGAAAGTATTGTAATAAACACATGAGAATAGAGAAATATTATAGTAAACTATAAAAAAGTAATGTTTCGATATCGTAACTACATCGTGTCTTGGACATAACTCTACCATCGTGGAGAGTGATGGACACATAAAGGGATGAGTTGTTTTCTTTTGTTAACAGATGTATTAAGTCATTTCTTATATTACGATATAATTGAAATCAACAAAACGTCTGTTGAATACAATTAATTCTGTTTTGATTATGAATATATCTCAAAGAAAAATCAAATTATGTTCCTATACAATGAAGTGTTTATTTTCGTCTTCTTAAGGCCATGCCACCTAGTGATTTTTATTTCATGCTTTCATTATTATTTAAGATATCAATACATTACCATGAGCGGAAATCGTCCACATATTACCCAGACTTAAAAGTCAGATGCTTGATACGAATCCATTTTTTTTTTCATTATTCACACATTGTCAAATTTTGAAGCCGATGAAAGTTCCTATTTGAAAGTGTTTTACACTTACCAACCCGGACATCCTGTTCTGGTGACCCAAAACCATTTTTATATCCTGTCTAATCCCTGTCAAAACTCAGAGATCCATTTATGCGTTTTTGGATTGCCTTTAAAAGTCAACATAGTGTATAGCGATACGATTCAGTGCTTCAAACAATTGTGTGATCATTATGTTATAAAATGAAGTAAAAATATTAATATCTTTTTCCATCCTTTATTCTTTAGAACAGGAAAAACACTGAGTTTGAATATATAATTAAGTAAGACCACCATTTTGTATTATATAATTACATACCGTCCATCCCCCGCCCATTGTCGTCATGTCACAGTAAACAGTTACAATACTGGTAGTGGTGCCATAGGGATAGATTTCATACACCCCTGAATCCGTGTAACCCTCCCCATGTAGATCCTTACAATCTATGGGAATTACTGGAAGCAGAAAATGAACAATCTACAGAAAAAACTCAAACACAGTGTTAGAATCATATAATTTATATTCACATTTAGTAAGAAGATGCATAGTACCAGTTAGAATGATAAAGGTTAATTGTTAAGGTTAAGATGACAATTATAATGTACTAGACTGTAGCACGTCCTTACTGCCTAAAATTATTTACCTGCCTAAATTCGTCAAATCTTTTAACTAAAATATCTTTTCAAAAATACCATTCGGCAGAGAATGCTTAGACGTTCAAGACGCAGTGTTCTTAACTTAGTTTTAGAATGGTTACTGCATACCCATGGAGAGCTGCAGATATTGTCCTATACGCGGCACTCAGGTCCTTTGAGCAGTGAGGGATCTACTGCGACACAAGACCTTGGTTTATCACACCTCCTAACCTCATTAGCATAAATCGGAAGAATTCGGAGATAAACGTAATAAAATATGAACAAAATCCGTAAACGTCCGAACAGCTTTCCTCGCGAGAATTCAGGGAGACCAACATGCTACAGGTGAAAATCGAGAGAAAAATTCAACATGAAAAAAAAGGTAAAACTTTACGTTATCTCGATTTATAAGATTTGTAAATTGCAAAAAGTTGAAAAACAAACGTTTCTTTACCTGAAAAGTGAAAGTAGGTTTGCAGTTTCTTATTCTATCAAGTGCTATTGCACTTTAAAGTGTCAAAACAGCTCCTCTCGATTTTGAAAACATGTTTCCACGTGGAAGGGAGTAGTTGTGATGGTCAACATTAACCCACATACATTGATTTAGTGAACAAAAACACTCGTAAGTAGAATTTCAGTTATTTTTTCGATTACCTCTAGCACAAAATGGCTAAATATTTTAGGGCATGTTTGTCAAATGCTGTTAATACATGTCTAAAATTGAAGAGAAAATGCAGGTGTGCTATAGTTCGTTCCTACTTGTAAGGTAGTCTACTATGCATGCAAATACTTATCAATACCTACTGATTTGTGAGAACCATATGTGTTTTTTCAAATGCCAAGAAACTAGCCTAAAATTTAATTCTATCCGTACTCATGCATACTCATTTGTATGCACAAGAAGTCCTTCCGAATTCCCTCTACACATATACATGTGTACCTGGATAAAGGATTAAAGGTTGTTTACATTTGTTTGCCGTTTTAATAGTGTCAGCAGTTTATATCAATCATGCAGTTTTCACTAGAGCCTTCTGATCAAAATATGGTAGTTACTTTTCTAATTTAATATCATAGAATTTATGATCAGATGATGTCAATGCAGTTCTCACATACTTGTGTTATGATATATCAGGTATGAAACTTCACATATGCAGTTGTCGCCCGCGTGGCGCAGTGATTAGGGAGTCTGCTCTAGAGTCAGGAAGTAAGGAGTCAATCCTTACGTCGCTAATTCCAATCCCACTGTGGGACGTGGAGACCGGTCCTTGGATGAGACCGTATAAACCGAGGCCCCGTGTCGCTGTAGGTGCTGGCACAAAAAAGATTCCTCCCTGCTCAAAGGCCCTCACCCAAAATTTGTAGCCCTCCACCGGCAAGTGGTGGCGTCTCCATATGAGTGAAAAATTTTCGAGAGGGACATTCTAAACAACATACAATCAATCAATCACATATGCATGGACAGACATACCGATTACTTAATATACCCTCCTGCTTTTCAAGCGGGGGGTATAATAAATTACATGCATGCGTGCATCAATCTGTGTAATGAAAAAATATTGCTAAAGATAATTTACATTGATGTTTTGCATTTTTGTTTGTAAGAATACATGTATTTAATTTACATATTGTTTAATTATTTCAATGTGTTAAATGAAAAGTAATTTTCTTTTTTGTTTGTCTATTGCAGGTACAGCTGTAGAGTACATTTTGAACAGCCATCTCCAGGTATGACAAAAATAACACAATTGACCCTATAAGGTTAAATAAACAAACATTATTGAATTTAGAAAATGTATATAATGAAGCACAAATGTGAAATCATTGTAGGCCAAGGCTAGAAATATTTTTCTTTCACTGATCACTCAGGCTTTTTACTGGTCAGATCATCATAATATCACTATCCAACTCCCAAGCTACTAGATTTAATAAAAAGAGACTGACCCAAAACCATAATAATAATAATAATAATAATATTCATGATAAATGTAATAGTTATATTTTGTTTATTTAAGGTGATACACAGTTGGACAAAAAATTAATCTAAACAAAACAGGATTCGGAAATGACAGAACTTTGAAACAAGCCTGTCAAATTACTAGCCCAACTATAATTGTATTTTGTTATACATGTACATAGAACTGACCCAAAAACAGATGCCCCCTACCATGTACTATCCTAGATAAAACAAAAATCACTGACCCCAGTCCAGTGGGCCTTCAATTATTTTTTAGCCTTGCATTGTAAAGTCAGCTATCGAGACATTCCGTCCTTTTTGTTGTTTGTTTTTTAATGATATTCACCATCCCACACAAATTATACATACAAGAAAATATATTTTTTTCTCCACTTGTAAAAATGGGCTTTCTTTTGAAGAATGACATTGTTGATTGAATTTAAAATTGGTCTTCAATATGTATGCACATGATAGTGATGATACTGTATTAAATGCACAAAAATTATAATTTCATTAAAATGAAACAAAAAAGCAAATATAAACTTTTAAAAAAGAAAATCAAATCAATTCATTTGTAATGTGCAATGATCGAATGTTTCTTGCAGGATATACTCTGAAGACAGTGATGTGCAAGTTCAAGGTTTGCTTGTTGTGAGTATTGTATATGTATAACTGTAAGGATAAAGTTATAACATATTTAATATGCAACATTATTATTTGATTATTATCATCCTGATCATGCTGATTGGAATAAACAAATAAAAAATATTAAGCATGCCCAGTTACTCCAATATCTACATTTACAGGTATATCAATGTATAAAAGAATCCTGTGTAAAGTTATATATATATATATATATAGAGAGAGAGAGAGAGAGAGAGAGAGAGAGAGAGAGAGAGAGAGAGAGAGAGAGAGAGAGAGAGAGAGAGAGAGAGATGTTGATAAAAGGGTCAATATAATTGAAAATCATGCATCAGTGATTTTTGTTTTTGTTTAATTCTCAAAAGATTTAATCACACTCTGTTCTATTTTCAGCAGATACTTTAATAATAAAGAATGGGTGAAAAAATTCTCACATTATCATGCTGCATAATAGTACATGTAAGTTCAAAGGCAGAAGAAAATCCATTAAAAGATAATTTAAAAATACAGTTGGTTGTCTGTTTTAGCAAACAATTTAATGAACTGAAAATTATGCTGATACATAATCAGTATATTATGCAAACTGTAAATGATTGCATTAAATATTTTTCTGATTTGCATGTAGTGCATTGATATTTGTCAGTATTTTTCATTCAGTTTTCTTTCCACATTATTGCAAATGCTTGTATTTTATTTGGATTAATTAAATGTAGAGGATTGGTATTAACTTATTAATCATATTTGTAGTTCAGCTGTAACAAAACAAATCATCTGATGAAATCTTCAACCACGAGAATCTAGGAAAGGATGTCAAGTCCAAAGAGACGGTATGTTGATTACTGGTGATGATATGTTATTGATGTATATAGAGTACAGCAATAAAATAGAGAGGACAATAGTAATCCGTAGACAAAAAATTAAATCTTAATTCTTTTCAAGAATAGGCAGGTCATTATTAGTCACTCTGAGATAGTTAGGAGCAGATTTAGATTTGTTCAGATCATATAACTATAGGGTAGGGTGGGTCCACAGTGGGGGGTCAAAGTTTTATTCTGGAATATTTAAGGCTCAGAAGCCTTTTATTATGAAATCTATTCAAGATTATTAGGGCCACAATACATCATATTTTTTGAACAAATACATCCTAGTACAGAATCCCAGAATCAAGGATAATGGATGTGCCATAATTAGAAACAGAATGTTTATCTTGAATGTCCAATGTAAATATTGGAAAATTATTTTGTTTATTTCCTGGCTTTTAAAGGTCAAGTATCATGAAAATAAAAACGCTCTAAAGGTTGATATATTGTCAATGCCATATATTAAATGAAGATTTTAAAGTTTCCAATTTTTTAATGACACCTACATGCTTGATTTACCTGTTTGAAAACTGACAATTTCTATTATCCCCGACGATGTTACCTCCCCTGTTCATGACGTCATTCGAGACATCAATATCAAAACAAAGATCGACTCACCATATATCATAACGCTCCGATTACGACATGGCTCATTTTATGGAAGATAATGACAGTGACGGTGAAATACCCGAAGTTGATTTGACACTGCATATACAGCCATACATATTTGAACCTTTGGGTAAAGATCGTTCTACTAATACATGTAATAGTTTGTCAGAAAGTGATCATCATGAATCGCACTCGGAATCGGGAAGGGAATCGCCGACAAGCTCTGAAGACGTCACTAGGGAACCTGTCGAGAGTTGGTATGTAGGTTAGGCCTAATTAATTTATTGTGTTTTTACATGTATATTACGTTTAGCCACAAAAATAAAATGACATGCATCAGGCTCCCGGGCGTACATATTAGGAAACATCTTAATAAGGTAAAACTGATATCAGTGGTGGCGTCTCCTTATGACTTATGAGTGAAAATTTTAGAGAGGGGTGTTAAATAACATAAAATCAATCAATCAATACAGGAATTTTAAAGTTATGTCTCCTTATTTATTTATTTATTTGCTTGTCAGATTTGTTTGCCTGAACGTTCTATGATACAGTGTTTAACAATTTTTTAACCAGAACCCAAATGCGAGATTTATTATGCCCTCACTTCAGGTGTAATTGTGGAAACTGTGTGGAAATGCCTACTAGCAGGGAAAACAAATGCTGCCGAAACACCAACATAGTAAATGGAAAGGTCGATGAGAAATCTCTCCAATGTATTACTGAGCATGAAGGTTTCATCGTAAATTGTTTAAATCATTATGTGTTGGAGACTTCTTACTATGAATACATACAGGATAATGGCAGACAAAATGAAAGAGAACCCATCCATGAGTAAGTTTCATAGACAGGTCAAGGGAGGGAGGTGTTCCTTCCAAAGGGAATTTCAGCATTGTTGATTACAGGGTTTCCCTAAGACCCAGGGGCCGGAGAATTTTCCTGCATATAATGATGTAATCCTCAGTTACTCTGTAATCCAGTTAAGCCCCTAGCTGTAAGCGGAAGAACCTACACCTTCTATTAAATTATTTTTAGGATGATTTTCCCCTTAGTTTGGACTTTCAGTAGGGCGTGGCATTCCCGGCGCTACGTAATAGCGAATACTAGTAGATTCTCATCGGTAAAGAAATTAATAACATCAGGAACTTAAAATTGTTGTTGACAACGATGAGACGACTTATACCCCACCTCTGTGCCATTAGAGAACTTTTAATTGGCTATTTACTACACCAGTTGACATTCGGCCGCATTTCTATCATATGTACATTTCAACAGTGAAGGGAAGCTGTGTAAATTTCAGAAGTTAATTAGGTAACGTCGAGAATGCCAGGCTTACTGAAAGTCGAAACTAAGCGTGTAATTGTCCTAAATGTTCCCTGCTAGGTATTTCAATAAATAGGGACAAACCTGTTGAAATATCAAAACAAGGATTTAATTTTACTTTACAATTCACAAAATAATGACAATTAAAAAAAAAGATCAACTCAGTCTCATGGAAAGTCCACTTTTCCTCACAATTTTGTCTTTCCTGTTCAGGTATCATTTTCCTTTTCTTCCGAGTGATATGGCCACCTCTCCCCCTTTTTACTGTCAAAACTTTCAGTCCAAAGTACATGTAATAAATGATTAGTTGAATATTTAAAAAAAAATGTTTGTTTGCCCTTTACCAACCCAGATTTTTTTAACAATGGGCAGGTAGGTAGGAGAAATATTTAATTTTCTCTTCTTAAAATTATAACAAGAAGCATGAGGGTCACAATGCTCGACTGCGTCATTTTCCTCTTGCTGCTCTTCAAAAGGTTGTTTTGAAAAAAATTCCTTCTAAATTCCTTTGAAAGAATGTGGGTCCAAACGTCATGTAAAATTTAATCCCCAGTTTTAACCCCAACCTAACACCAGTGTCCCTCTTTGAACAAAATTGAATCCTCAGAATGTGTCGATTTCACATCCTATATTCTCACCAATATCTAAGGAGGTAAGGGCTGCAAGCACTGAATAAACAATAAAGGTAGTCCATTATATTTATAAGTAAAACTAGTCACTACTAAATTAAGCATCTAAATGACCTCAAAGAACATTTTTAAACTGGGTTGAAATGATTCAACTACCAGGGTAAAAAAAATAGTAAATGTAAAAAGCAATAAAATATTTTGAGTCGGGCTAATTTCGATAGTTCTGTCAGCTAAGGGCAAACAAACATTTTAATTTAGGCCTAAATAAGTGCACATATAGGATTATGTTGAGCATATCCTCTGCAATATTTCAGACTTTACAGACATCTTGCCTACAGAAGATTTGTTCGGTGGGTTTATCATATTCTTGGGAAGAAGAATAGACGTATTCTACCATCTTGTGTTGTCAGCAAAATCAGACAGACTTTTCCTTCCCAAACCTATTGTGGTTTTAAATATCCAGAATAATGATAGAATTTGGAAATATTATATTTATTCAATAAAATCTGGATCTATGAGTAGCCACAATGTCTTCTTTTCTAGCCCTTCCTTCCATCTGAGCAATTGGTCTCGGTCTTTCTTTCTCATTTATTGCTTTGGCTGCTCTCGCCTCTCCATAAGAATTGTGGACTTCTCTCCTGAAGATGAGGTCTTCAAACAGTTCATTCACATAATCTGTCAATTGAAACAAGCAAGCAACTGGACATTATGCAGGATTTATTATTTCTACAAAACCAGATATAAAAAAGGAATCCTATTTTTCCATGTGAAAAATTAAATCTTATCTCCATCCGAGAAACCCTATTATACCCTGTACAGGTATTTGATACTCCTTGCAAACCAAGGAGTTTTAGTAATTAATATTAAAACTGCATTACCTATTCCGTACATTCCGATGCACTCAAAAATGATTTATTATTGATAGTTTACCGAAGCTTAAAATTTTGGCAATCACCTTCCTTTCAAATACCTCTAGTATCAGTCTATATTAAAAACTTATTTGTAGAAGGCCAACATACAATACTGGTATCTTACAAGGATAACACTTTTTGGCTTGAGAATTTAAATGAAGAGGTATATAACTATATTCATGCACTTACTAAAAGTTTGTTGAATTTTTACTTCTTTGGCAACTCCTTCACCCTTCCTTCCCTTTGGGTATGAAACACTGTATATCATATCACCATCTTGATTTTTTGCCTGCTCCCTGGTTGAATTTTCATTAAAATGCAATGTGGCTAAATATAACCTATAAAAAGTTATAAAAAGTGATTCTGAAAATAATTTTATGAAACTTTTCATATAAAAAAAGAGGCCCATGGGCCACATCACTCACTTGAGCACATTTGCTCTGAAAAGCACAAATCAGTTTAGTATTGAAAAAATACATGTTCAATGGGGGAGGGGGGACTTAAATTTTAGACTTCCTAAAGATGCTTCCACATTAATATAACAAATGGCTTTGATGTTCTTGAATATAAGATTTTTAAACATGTTTTCCTATATATTCCTTTGTAAAAATTTGATCCTCCATTGTGGCCCCTCATTGTGGGGGTTTTGATTTGAACAAATTTGAATCTAGCTGCAGAACTGAGGAGTAAGAATTTTTTTGAAATCTAGCTTTTTTGCAATTGAGGTAAGAATTTGAAAGAATTAATACAGAACTGTGCACACTTTTTTGTGCACTTTTAATACACATTTTTTCAATTGGTGGCACTGTAGCTATTCAGTCTGTCAATATATTCTTAATCTTCACTACCTGAGGATGATTCCATATCAACATTACCAATCATAGTTTTGCTGTTCTTGAGAAGATTTTTAAAGATTTATTCCTATACATTAGTGATTACCAGTACTATGTAAAACTTACCCCTAGAGTTCATCATTTTAACAAACTTAGTCTACACAACGTAAGGAAAGTTCACATACATGTATATGTTTCAACTCTTGGTTCAGTGGTTCTTGAAAAAGAGAATTTTGAAACATGCCACCAAATTTTCACTTTTTCTTAATTATCTCCCCTTGAAAAGGGGTGTGGCCTTTCATTTGAGCAAACTTGATTCCCCTTTGTGGCAAGTTTGGTCGAAAAATTGTTCTGGAGAAGTCAAAAATGTGAAAAGTTTACAGACGGATGGACAGCTGGACAGACGGGCTATAGACAAAATGTGATCAGAAAAGGTCACTTGAATTTCAGCTCAGGTGAGCTAAAAAACCTTAGTGTAAATTAAAGGCTTAAGTAATTCATGCAATACACCTCAAAATAAAGCTTTCAATTTTCAAAGTTCCTTAGAGTTAATTACGTACCGTGCTTCCATTTGTGCATGGAAGAAGTGCACAAACTTAGGGGCAAAATGACAGAGCACCTTGTGGAAAGCCTCAAGCCCAGAAGTCTGTTCTGCAGGAGACATTTTTCTGATATCTGTCAAAAGAAGCCGGCCTTTGACAACCTTTTCCAACTCATCGTAAGCTTTGGAACCTAAAAACATTGATATCTTGTCATAAAGGATGTATTTTTGGAGTTCTAATGCTGGAAATATTAAAATAAGGGTGGGGGGCAACAGTCTTTTACAGGAAAAGCTAGTATTTAATTAAGCAGTAAACCACACATATAACAAACTTGTTTATAATGAATTGACACTTACTGCGAAGTGATTTTCATCATATTCATTCCCCTTGACTTTAAAATGTATTAAAAACTTAAACGGATACAAGGAATTACTATATATATATTTAGATATCAAAATATATATAATAACTTATAATAACTCTCTCTCTCTCTCTCGCTCTCTCTCTCTCTCTATATATGTATAGATTTATATGTGTGTGTACCTCTACGAATCCAAAGACGGTCTTCAAGATCTCCATGTTCACACCTGGGAAACTCTGCACCATGCCCCTCATGAACATTACACACGTGATTCAAAATAGAACACCACTTCTGGTACACCAACTCACCATCTCCGCCACTACTCATTGCACACCAATAAGTGTGATTGCTGATGGACCTTGCCCAATCTCCAACAATTTCACAGTTTTTCTTCTTGCTCACAGCTTCTAACTTCTTGTAAATTCCTGAGACAAGAATTAATTGATTTTTTCACTAATTTCAATACATAAATATACTATTTTATCATATTTTGAATATTTTCAATGAAATATAATTCATTATTATTCATGACATTGAACACAGATTATTTAACAAGTTTTTATACACTATCAAAATCAGACAGTTTTGTCATTATATGTACACTTTATATCTTGAGGCAGGGCCCAAGTTAGCTTACAAATGAATTTTTACTTTATACATGTTTATATCAAGGTACATGTTTATGTATGTTTTGAAACTCAAAGATACTTGTAAAATAATTTTTTAACATATGATCAGATGTATAGAGTATACATAATTATAAAGGAAAGTTACCTTTAGCAATGTGCCAGCAATCAAACCAATGTATTATTTCTGGATGGGTTTCACGCATGTACTTTTTTATCTGAGAATGGCGGTCAGTAACCAAATGTGAAATCTGTAGATCCTCATCTGCAATTCTGGCAAGCCCTCTTTGTAAACCCTCCAGCTCCATGGCATACGAGTTTCTAACTTCATTTTTCTATGATTAAAAATAAGCATGGTTCATTAAAAGCAACAACAACAAAAATTAAATTCTGTCTCATAGTTCAATTTTACTTCAAGAAAATTAAGAAATATCTATTTAAAACATAATGTCAAAATAATAATTTCAAATTAAGCATTTTTTCATTGTTTTGATAGTTTGTAATTACCTGCACAAGCTGTGTATCCAGGATTTTGTTTGTCTTCAGATCCATCAAAGTGTATGAAAGATATTTGGCTGTGTGGCCAGGTGAGCAACACCGTCCATCTCCACCCAGCCTCAAAGGTTCTCCAGACTCCTGTGCTGCTGTAAAGAGATGTAACTGCTCTCTTTGCCAAACATCTTCTATAGTTGGGACTAAATACAATGACTGAATTTTCATGTATGTTCCAATGCTGAACATCTGAACTGAAGCATGTCTACACAATGTTAAGAATTTGTGAGCACTGCCCCCAGAAAATAACACAGCTCCTGCAATGATTAAATTACCAAGGGGCATAGCACTAGATGTAGGCTGACTTTCCCATTTTTTCTGAGCACTGCAGTTTTCACATAAACTCTTAATGCTAATGTATGAGCCTATGATAGTCTTTCTTAATGTACATTGGCATCCACAATTGTAGCAAGATGTAAATAATTGATCTAAGCAGGATTCAAAAACTATAAACTTTCTTTCCTTAGCAGGGTTAATGTCTTGTTCAGAATCGTGCTCCTCATTCTCACTTTCCGGAACCCAGTCTGAGTCTGTGTCATTGTCATCCCCTTCATCTGTGGATGTCAGGAAGCTGTTGTCAAGATATTCAGATATTCTCTCTTCAGTCTGAGTTCCTGTAGAAACCTTTTCCACATCAGGAGGAGATAAAATGTTTATTTCTGTTTGTAGTTTTACATGGCGTCGCTTCTAAAATAAACCCAAAGAATCAAATTAATGGAATGGGGAAGTGCAACAAACATTTGATCTTGTACAGTATATCAATCATGTCATGTTATTCTCATTAATAGGTTTACTGGTTATATTGATATGAAGATATTGGTATGATTATAATGAAAAATTAAGTAAATGTGGTATATGTATATAACATGCACATCATAAGAAATATCAAAAACTCAAATCATAATTTTTTACCCCTTTTGAACCAGACCTCCCCTTTTTAAAAGGAGCAGCCATAAACATTTAAGTAAACTTACAACTACATCATATGTTGTCTGGGACATTGTGGAATAGCACTGAACATGCTGAACATTTGTTTCTTTAAAATTTGCTGGACAGACTGTGTCACCTGATCTTTGATCATCTTGTGGTTGTGGTAATTCATCATTGTCAATATCACTGGCATCTAAAATCTGCAATGCATCAATACTCATCTATATTTAGCGCAAGCAATTAAATAATCCAAAAATATACATTGGTGCATTATACAGTGACCGATCCAGGAATCTTGAAAAAAAGGGGGTACTAGTCTGGGGTTAGGGTAGATAGAATGTTCTATCGTTAAAATGATAAATGTCCTAAGGACCCAGATTAACTTGATACTTTAAGGGGCATATTGTCACACCAAAATAAAATTTGATATATTTTGCACATGGGGGGGGGGGGCTGAACCTCCATTTAAATCTGCCGCCCCTCTAAATGAGCCAGTGCATTATACATGTACATGTTATAACATATGTGTTAAAATACACGTTACCTTGTTTATATACACATAGATATTCGTGATATGATTCGCCACTCTTGTGATAAAAATACATTCGTGATCAAAATAAATGACTAGGAATGCATATGCCTAAACAAAAATAATTATTATTGACCACCGTCCGTTAACATTTTGTTAATCAGTTCCGAATATTAACTTAAACTATTAACATTGTTACCATGTTTACGCTTTGAAGATGTGCATATGTTGGTCGAATTTCCTCTACTTGTTTTATCAATATTTGAAAATTGAAGTCACCGGTCACCCTAAATAACCAGATTTCTATATTGCAAAATATTAAAATGTTTTAAATAGTGGTTTTCAAAATTATTTTCTTACGTTATAGCGTCTTCTTTTGGTGATTTTCGCAAGGGCATCTGACTTGGAACGACCAACCATGCTAACGTCTGGCCTGTCAATGTCATGTTGCTGAGACGTGGGGCGAGCTGATCTTTTAACCGATAGCCTTTTTTCTTTGGGATCCGTGTAATCGAATAGAGATGGCACAGCTCCTGATTTCAAGATCTTGTTTTTTAACTGAAACTTTACGTTGTTTGCAATGTCAGGATTTATCGAGAATTGATCTTTGTCAAAATGTCGTTCACAAAGTTTACTGTATTGAGTAGGATGAAAACCGTCTCTTCTCAATTTGAGAGTCCAAATTTTTCTAAATTTGGGATCTTTCGGAAACAAATACAGGCTAATTCCCTGGCCAGATTTTATTGTGCAGTTAAGTGCGGCACACTGCACCATATTTTCACAAAATTGACAAGAACTTATCTCTCGCTCATTACCCTCTTCAGCGTCCTTTGGGCGAGTGTCTCGAATGACGTCATTTTCTCGAAGGGAAATAACTTGTTTGTAAAGAGATTGGTTACGGTGCAGGTGTATATTTAATACCAGTTTAAATGGTTTATTGCTGTTAATAAAGCAAATTATAATCCAGCATTTTATTTTGGTAATATTTGCGAAGTGTTTAAACCAGAAAAACTTAGATTTTCATATATCTTTCTACTTGACCTTTAAGTTAAGTAGAGATTAAAATAATATAAGTTTTCATAATTTAAATTCCAATTTTATGGAGACTCTAGTTGATATCTATGTAAGGTCAAAAAAGCTACAATTTTCAGAAAGAAAGCAATATTTTAGGGTTATAGAAAAGGGGCATAACTCTCATCATGATAGTAATGATGGATTTCAGATAATGTGAGAAATGTGTGCTGTTGGGAAACAAGTGAATACAGTGCAGTCTAAATAAGTACAGTTAAACAACAGTATCTTAAAATCAAAAAACTTTGACTACCTATATAGCGTATGTTGACGTTCGTGACAGTATTACAAATTGGATGAATGATTTGCAAAGACTAAATATGATTAACTTTTGTTAATTTAATTTGCTCATTTTGCGCATATCTCTTTCTCATGCAGATTATTAATGAACAATGATAGATTGAATTAGCAACTGTAAATGGCATACATGTATATGAATTTTATATACTCTGTTTAGAGTTGAACTTTGGTCTTTGACAGTTGACACTGTGTGATATTTTGAACACATTGAGATATCAAAGTCATTTTAAAGTCCATTGAACGACATTTTTTTTCTATATATCTTACCCTGAATCTCTTGGATATCTCAGTTTTTTTCAGCAGTCCCATGAGCATTTCAAGATAACAAGTATGACTTAAATATTTTATTGATTCAATTAATTTATGATGAATTATAAAAATATCAACTAGTGCTAATTGTAACGGGAACCGTTACAGATGTTCCCCAAACGCTCCCCAACTTCCTTTTGGTGCCATATCCTCTGTAAGCTTCATTAAATACGACAAACACTGTGCACTTTTGACTTTAACAACGTTTCCCCAGAAGGATACCAATTACATACAAATTTTAGAATTGCACCCGTGCACATGTGAATGCATGTGCGTTATGACCATATCATCTTGTCTACACTATCTATATATTTTGATGTACTATAATATGAAAGCATTCAGTCCAAAAGTATTAAAAATCACTCATTCAAGTGTATTATTAACTTCACTCGTTCTAAATGCACGCACGTGCGTGCACGTGCATGTTGACCATACCTTCTTGTAGGAGTCCATTATACCTATCTGTATTCTAAATCCCATCCTTTTGTTTGAAAAATTAGGGAGTTATAGCCATTTCAAGTTTCAGCCAATCAGATTGCAGCACACGTACATGCGCGTGATTTCATGATTTTTTCTACATCGTATTGTAGGACATCCTAATGAAAGACTATGTTTGAAATTTCAAAACATTTTGTCAAAAAACAAAGGAGATATAGCCATTTAAAGTTTCAGCCAATCAGATTGCAGCACACGTACATGCGCGTGATTTCATGATTTTTTTTCTACATCGTATTGTAGGACATCCTAATGAAAGACTATGTTTTAAATTTCAAAACATTTTGTCAAAAAACAAAGGAGATATAGCCATTTAAAGTTTCAGCCAATCAGATTGCAGCACACGTGCATGCACGTGATTTCTTGAAATTTTTTGTATATCATATTGCAGGATATTCTAATGTATGACAATATTTTAAATTTCAAAGCATTTCGTCAAAAAACAAAGGAGATAAAGCCATTTAAAGTTTCAGCCAATCAGATTAAAGTGCATGTGCATGCACGTGATTTCATGAAACTTTTATAGATCATGTTGTAGGATATTCTAATGTATGACTATATTTTGAATTTCAAAGCATTTCGTCAAAAAACAAAAGAGATATTGAGATTTTTGTTTCAGCCAATCAGAGCGAAGCGCACGTGCATGCGCGTGAGTTCGTGCTAATTTGACAGTGTCATATTATCTACACTATAAATATATCTTTATATAATGAGTTTCAAAACATTTGTTCAAAAAACATAAAAGTTATAGCTATATTAAGTATATCAGTCAATTCACTCATTTCACGCGCACGCACGTGCAGGCGTATGCGGGCAAAATGACCTTCGTTCCGCACACCTACACTACACACCTATTAACCCTAAAAAGGTTTTAGCTCAGTTGGGTGAACAGTTTCTGAGAACACTCGCGGACAAAAAAGTACCGGAGAACAAATAAGAAAAAAAATAATAATAATAATAATAACTAGAGCAAAGCTCGTTGCAAAGCAACGAGTAGGTCTTCCGTCCTGTTTGACCGGAAGTAGTTTTCATTTTTAACGAATATGAGAAATAACGCCCCAAAATTGGTTGAATCCTCAAAATCTATGTTAATTAATGCAAAAATAAGCCATTTTTTGCTACTTCCGGTTTGACCGGAAGTGACGACGACGGACGGAAAATTTATTTTTATGTTCCTAGTGACATAAGATACCCAAAAACTTGTCAAGATTGACCAAAATACGCGTTTTCCGACTACTTCCGGTTTGGCCGGAAGTGACATGGTCGGACGTATTTTGACGACGCCCGTAGATTAAGCTTGAAATTTTGAACAACTTTGCTTCTTTGATGTATTACAAATTCTCAATACTTTTTGAGATATAAAAGAAAAACTTATGGCCCCTCCAGTCCCTTAATTTTAGGGGCCAGCCCTTTTTTCGAGATATCATTTGAAAGATCTTGGAATTCTACACTTCTTTTGTTCTATATGTTATAACAAAATATTTCAAAGGAAAAAGGTATCATAGAAAAGGTTGTAAAAAATTTGAAATTCGCGATAGGACAATTTTCGGGCCATAGCGAGCGCCGACGCGCGGCACTTTCGATAAAAATGAAATTCATTTTGCACATCTATAGACTTAGGACTATCAAACCTGAAATTTTCACGTTTCTATCTTACGCCAGTTTTTAGAACGTTCGCGGACAACCTGACCCTTCAAAAATCATAAAATCGACAATATTTCCGGACCGGAAGTGACGTCATCAAAACGGAAAAAAATGAATCAAGTTCAAGTAATGTTACATGAGTCCTGAAAGTTTCATGGAAATCCATCGAGCCGTTTTCGAGAAATCGCGTGCACAAAATCGGTAAGAAAAAAAAGAATAATAATAGGTAAGAAAAAAAGTGAAAAAGAAACCGAAGAATAACAAGAAGGTCTTCCGCTGAAGACGGAAGACCTAAATAAGAAACAGAGTAAAAACAATATGTTCCCAAACTCCGTTTGGGGAACATAATCATATACTTTTATGTTAATGCATTAACATTTTATATTTTTCAGGCCATATAACAAATGGTTGCTGAATTCATGAAGACTAGCTGGGTTGATACAGTACTTTTCTACTCATATGAACCATATCTAAACATCATTTGAGGATCCCTTTCTCAGAAAAAAAGAATTTGCATATTCAAAGACTCTGTAGTTTATTGTTTATTTGTACGTTGTTTAACATTCTTCTTGAGATCTTGTGAAGGGTATCTAAATATTGATTTATGAATTTTTACTTCATTGTTAAACAGCATAATCTTTATTATAACATATGCCTGTAATATACAACTTATTTGTTGTTGAACATTCCATTGTCTGTCTACATGTGGTGCTTAGTAAATTTCTTGTAAATAAAAACATGATTGCATGCTGTTTGTTTACCTTGTCTTTTTTTCAATATGAGTCATGATATATAAATGGTGTGCATATTAGTTTAAATTATTTTTGTTGAATTCAGTTAACACAAAAAAATTAATAGCTGAATATGATTACCTAGATAGATACCTTCCAGAAATATTTACATGTACTAGAAGCTGCAGATATGTAGCTTATGTGAAATCAGGTATACTTGAAACTCAATTTACCTGTATTTATTAAACAGAAATTTAGTGGACACATTCATATACATATGCAGTATTTCATATTGAAAATATACTGTGTTAATGTTTTACTTATTCAACATAAAAATTGACCAGACGTGATCTTAATGAAATAAAACATATCTCGCAATATTTTTTTTCTCTCCCCCCCCCCCAATTCTATTACAATTTAAATGTATATAAATTGATAAAAGAAACTGACTATACCATTAAAGAAAATTTTGAGTTGTCTTTCCTTTTTTAAAGAAAATATCTGATGCAATGAATGCTCCCTTGGGTTCATGACCCTGAATATTAATAAGGTTGGGAGGTGTGTTTATGCGCGCTGATCCCACAAAAGGGATGTATTTAAATAGCACACTTGTTTATTTTTAAGTCAATTACAAAAAATAATTTTGTAATGGTAAACAAAGGATAAAATGTTATTAATTTGAATTAAATTTTATTTCTGCATTGTGTCATAGTTTAAGCTTTAAACTTTCTAAATTAGTATTTCTTTCTAAAAAGAAGTAGAAATGAAAAAAAAAAAAAAAGAATTACAAAATATAATTCAATCCATTTCAAATTCATCAGTATTTCAGAAAAATGAAGTTCGAAGACGAGAGTATTATTTAGTATTATAAAAGTTGAAAAAACATTTGATTCTTGCACATGTCACATCTTAATAAGAAAGTATTATCTCAAGAAAAAAAATAGTATTGTACATAGTAAAGAATAATCAACCAGTTCTTCATAAATATTGTGTGAAAAAAAGATGTTAAGATTTTTGGGAGACGAATAATAGCTAGACATGTACATACAGTCGTTTGAGTAGTATCTCCAGCCATCCTCATTAGATACTCCCGACGTGAAATTCTTCTTATGCGTTCGACATTTCTTCATTTGAGAGTGGAAACCGAAAATGCTACACTCCCTTTGACAGCGGGCTGCACACTCTATATCCGATTTAGAATTGTATTCTCCTACAAGTTCTTCATTTGATTTTTTATCATCCATTTCTAATTTTGCGGTATATTTCCGCGAAATAATGGTGGACTGAGACACCACAAAAAACAAAAATGAAATAGATAGCCCATTTAGCGCCCATATTGTAATTTGTATTTAACGCTTCCTTCTGCGTACCTGTAAGAATGTGCAATATGTTATATCAAACGCTTAATTATAAATATCAAAACATATTTCAGTTATTGATACGTGATTGGCTAACGGTTACGTACTCTGTTTGGTTCAATCGTTTTCATATTGATTTGTTGAATCTGATGTAAGTTACTACACATTTTTACTTTGCAATTGTTATTAAGAATATTAAAATGAATTTTCACTTTGCATATAAGTGTATAGTTCAAGTCTATAGCAGGTCTTATACAAATCCGCTGTATATTTTAAATGATATGTCCTGATATTATCGAATTTTTAAAACTATTTTCTTCATTAAAAAATAATAAGTAAGTTATTTTAAAGGTGCATAGACACAAATTTGAAGTTAATATTTTCTGTATAATATTACGACTTATATATTGTAATAGCACTTCACATGAAAATTTATTTAAAATCTTATTTCATCTAAAGGTTATTGAAATTTCAAATTTTTGGCTGGGTTTGATTGACACATCCTTGCACTTTCACAAAATTTAAATTTATTCTTAATATTTTTGAAAATTGATAATCTTGTTGTGTATCAATGAAAAATATTCAAAATTTTTAGGCACAGAATTTTTTTAATGAGAAATGGTCAGTTCATTCTCCAAAGATGAGCCAAACATATAAATTCAAAGTGTACCCTGCAGTCAAGGTGTCAGTCGGGACTGCCGTTTAAACTTTCTTTACAATATACGGTTATTTCTTGCCACATTGGACAGACTATTTTAGCATCAATAGACAATCCAGCGCCCTCGACATGTGTATATGTACGGAACGAATGTCCGAGGGAATAAGACACCAGTCGAATAGTTAAAGGACAACCATACTTAATACGTGTACATTCTAGCTACAATGTGTACAATTTAGCTATACTGTGTACATTCTAGCTATACTGTGTACATTTTAGCTATACTGTGTACATTCTAGTTATACTGACATATTATATAATTTGACAATATGGCTTTCGTACATAGTTGATGTTCCTTAAAGAACCCGCATTAATCATAACAGAACATGTTTATTTTTACTGTAACTTTCCTGGGTACTATCCAAATACAAGCAAACAGCTCTATATATACATGTTAAATTGATGCAAATCATCAACTCGACCACAAATTTTTTTTTAAAACATATTCACACAAACGAATTGAAATTAAAAATAAAAAAAATTTAGGTACTATGTAGGGTTAGATATACTTAGCTTTTGGATCGAAAAGATCGAGTAAATAGATTGAAGGATATATAAATTGGATAGTAACATTAATAAAGTGGCTTGAATACATATGTCTAAATCTACAAAAAAGACATAAACCTCACTATATCATTGGATATTTGCCATGTGATGTTTATCTTATCAAAGTGTTTATCTTATACAGAGAAATGCAGGTTTCAACATTAATACATGTGACCAAATAAAATGTAATTAGCAAAAAGACAAGGATCTACAGAGATGACCATTAAATTCTGGAATACAAGTCATGTTGTAAATGCATGAGATTGACAACTACCGGAAATATTCATAATGTCCATTGAACAATTGCGGCTCTTTTTTGTCTAGAAAAAGCGATTTTTACATTGAACTTCCGCCAGTTTTACTCCCCATCCCAATTCATTTATTCAAAATTTTATGCATGCTTCTCTTGTCAGATTATTTTCGTAATTAAATTAATCACTTGTAGAATGAAATCCAATTCTTTTCAAAACAAATTATTGTAAGAATTTGTCTTACATACGAATATTCTGCTGGTATGTGCTTTGGCAACAGGGACTTATACGTCATATATTTGTAATTATTTTAGTTATCATTTCTGAAATACTTAAGAAGGAGAGATGGTATTCATATGACGGTATTCATCATTAATTGTTTAAAATTATCCTCAACATTCACATTATATACTTATATTCCAACTTTTAATTATTAAGCCTACATATTTGTTGTGCTTGATTGAAAAGTTCTATTACATCCATGTTGTTCCACTCTGGATTTGAAATATTCCCAACGCTATCGATATTATCATAACAACTTAACAGGAAAGCAATTCCTCGTCTCCAGTATTCTTCTCTTTGTTTTAGGAAAGACACTTGAATTGTCACAACATTCTGTGGAAATACTTTTGAATCAGAGTTTGAAAACGTTTGTTTTTCTAATGAGGATGAAATAGTTTTGTCAGTTTTTTTAAGGTACTTATGTTTTATAGTAACGAGTGTCTTATCCATATGAATTTCTTTTGACAAAGGGGAACGTTGATGATGATGATTTGTATTGATTCATAAGGTAAAAATGTTGAATAGTGTATTTTAAAAGGATCCCGGAGAAATAGTGTCAGATGCGGAATAGTTTCTATAAGTGTATTTTATGAGTTACTCGTAAATTAATAAATAGTGTATCTATAGATGAATAAGATTTGAACTTTGAATAGTGTTCCTAAAGATAAATTACATTTAGATTGGAAATATCGTGTTTACAGATGAATTAGATTTATATTTGCAATAAGATGTTTGTGGAAAAAAAGAAAAGTAATCATTTTTGCCAGCACAAAATTAAATATACTGAAAGGAAAAAGAAAAGCATAATTACGGAAGCCCAATAGTGCAAACCAAAAATAAATAAAGAAAAACGAAATTAATATATCAAGAGAAACGAAATTAATATATAAAGAAAAAAGAAATTATTATATAAACGGAAACGAAATTATTAAAAAAAGAAAAACGAAATTAATATATAAAGAAAAACGAAATCATTAAATAAATCAGTTCGTTTTTCTTTATTTAATAATTTCGGTTATCTTTATATATTAATTTCGTTTTTCTTTATATATTAATTTCGTTTCTCTCTATTTAATAATTTCGTTTTTCTTTATTTAATAATTTCGTTTTCTACTTTTAATAATTTCGTTTTTCTTTATATATAAATTCCGTTTCTTTTTATATATTAATTTCGTTTTTCAAGTAGAAAACTGAAACTAAAATACGGAATTTTAATATGTGCATGGTAAGGGCTTGCAGGTGTCGTAACAGTAAATCATGGCTGACGCAAAATAATCCTGGAATCTTCCCTTCCGATTCTGGCATTTTTATACGAGACTGGAGCTGAATTTTTTTATGAGATGAAAAACAACATGTAAACTTCCTGTATTGACTAGATTTATTAAAATTTAGGGCGTGCTGATTTTTCTACATACTGTCAAGTGTGGGGAGTGATTAGGCCCTGGGCTGCATTTTCAAACACCTGCTCGACTTCAACCGAAACAAACTTGTGTGCCTTGCAGGATGGCTATGTATTTTTTGGTACTAAAATCTTTATAAAGAATGGTTTTACAAGATCTGAAAAGGAAACTTCTGAGAAGTTTGTTTTGAATTAATTACACCTACTCCAACTTGCGCATTTTTGGTAAAAATATATAGCAGGATGTAATGTTGTTGTGCAATCT